TCTTTCATACTAGTCAACGAGGCCTAATTAGGTCTTAATTAGGCACCAAATAATTTTTCTCAACCGTTGCCGTGAGGCGGATGTGATCTAGTGGCAAGTGGCATGCTTAGCGGTCTTGAGGTCAAATCCCGATTCGGCTCCCACCGAGGCCAACCGAGCCTTCAACTCTCCGGGGACGGTAAATTGGTGACAGATTTGAATGAGAGGATGAGAACACTGCCTTGTACTTATATACACCGCCCCGCCCCTGGGTCATTTTATAGGGCACATGGATTAGCCACCTTGATACTGAATGGAAGTAGAATGTGCGGCGCATGCCAAAAGAGATCGATCGACGGCGAAGACTCACCTCGCTCATCATCACCAAATCATGCATTCTCGGTCTAGAAGAAGATGCATCTCATGGGACAATTGAAGGTTGAACTTGAAAGGACCACTTCGACGTGGGCCTAACATAAAGTCCCTGGGCCCATGTCGTAGTCCCACTGATCACAAATGACAGTCCAAAGACAGAATGATTGCAATGTTGACAGTACGCATCATTGACCAATCGCCCTTTTTTCTTTCAACACGAGAAGATCATCTCTTGCAAATAATTGTTGTTCATATGTGAATATATTTTCGATGTTCAGAAAGGAGTGAAACTCAAAGAATGCTCAGTTCAGTAATCTGTTTCCAATTTGAATATGATCGTACTTCGTGACGGACGACTGTCGACCGCGATATCGATCGCGAAAACGTGATCTACAGGAGAGCTGTGGCCTCCCACCTTTGTTATGAAGGAGTACTGATCAAAGATTTGATTGAAAACAGCCCTGGCGGAGAGAGGAGTATGTGACAAGAGAATCGTAATTTGCCGCGCCAGTGGGCATCGCGTGCGACGTCGCATCTTTCAATGACGACGATTCCAGTCCATATTGATCGAGAATAGGCAACGCATGACCGGAAAACAGCCGTAGATGTCTACGATATCAAGTCTACATGAAATCCAATGTTCCATTCGGAAGGGTAATGCAATCAAGAAAAACTCGCGCCCATCGCCGCGTGCGACGAAGCGGCAGATTACGTTTCTCTTGTCCGTCTCCCGAGGAGGAGGGGAGGGGGTGTTCAAAGAACTACTCGTGCAAAATCAAAACCACCGTTATCGAGGAGCACCATGGCGTTTGGTGGAAAGGGGGAATGGGCGCTAGCGCGCGTGAAACGGAAGAACCAGCAGCCAGAAAGTTTCAGTCAGTGCTAGATACCCCCTCCTTCCCCCTCCCCCTCCCTCCTCCTCAGCCACCAAAATAGTGCGACTATTCGTTGTTATGTTCACAGCGCATGATTTGCGATGTTAGGAACGAAGATAAAGCCTTTGCCTATGCCTAAAGGGGAGGTACTTGGGGGCTGGGAAACCAATTTTACGTACGTGCTGATCTCAGTATTGCACAAGGTTCTTTGAACGCCCTTGAGATTGTGGGCGCCCAAAAAGCTTGCGACAGTGTAACCCCAAAGGCAAACTGGCACTCCACTCCGCGGATCCTAGTCCTTGTGAAGTGTGAAGTGATTGAATCCGCAACTGCAAGAGCGGGCCACTTTTCAGTTAAAATGCACAGGATCGGGGCAAGCTTGTGATACCAGGGTGCCATCGCTATACTTCGTCTGCGCTGCCGCACGGCTGGCCATACAACCAATCATAGCCAAAAGCGCTATTTGTCTGTGTCCTCTTACTTCTGGTTGTTCTCTAGAGCTAAGTGCCTGTTTCGCTGTGGATCTTGCTACTGGTAATGCTGCCCCTGAGGACAGTGTACACGAGTACACGAGTTAGGCGACGACACCCGGGAACATCACCCTCCAGCCACGTTACCGTTCACTTTTGACCGGAGAAAGTGGCACCCTACTGCAGCTGCGCAACTATTCACCGCTGATGACTTGGAGCGTCCTTGGGGGTGAGCGTACAGCTTGAGGTTTTCGACTGAAGTCAAGTATACAGTCATAGGTCACCAACCGTGAAGAGGTGATTAAAGGCAGTGGGCACGATTGCTGCCATTGTAATTAGTCAAAGGGCTGAGAAAGGGCATTTGGCCGCATCCCACTCAGCCCCTCCACCAATGACGCTGGCAAGAACCGCCCGCCCCCGGCAATTGTTCCCACCTCCTTTAAAGGAGGCTTCGTGCTCAGGAAATCTTTTCTGAATTACTGAAAACAAATTTTGAGGAGTTCACTTCCTTTAATTATGTACGTAGATATCCTTTAATTATGTACGTAGATATTCAGAGACTTTATTGAGCCGATCATCTTGTCTACGGTTGAAAAACAGACAAAGAATTCCATAGCATAAAAAAGATCTGCATAAGTGCTATCGCAGCCGTCTTTCACGTCTTTTTCACGAATTCCCTTCTCCAGATCGCCTTTTTGCCAGAATTGGATGCTTCGCATTCCTGAAACGATCGATTGACGTTAGAAAAGTGATAGGAACTTTCAACATTCTCACGTCATCCGCGTGGAACCCCTCGTTTGATCGGTCATCATCCACCAACGTGCTACCACCTCCACAGCTGCACTATGACAGAACGAGAGCAGAGTGCGCATCAAGCGGCATGCCGCTATCCGATCACTTGCAGCGCCACGAACACCGCGACAAAAAAAAGCAGCGAACACGTGCGTTTTCATCATTTTTGTTCCGGAAAACAGAATGTGGGCTAGGGGGGATGTGTAGTGAATGAGCGTCGGAACTAAACATCAGTACATCATACGTCAGTACATGTTCATATGGCTTGAAAGATTGCATAGTGGTAGTCAGGAACGCCCATCGCGACATCACCAAGGACAACTTCTCAGACACGAAGCAAACAACGTCGGCGAATTGAGTGAGAATTCAGTGACCAAAAAACAGCGTTTATACGAAAACAATGACCATGGACAGACATCACTATTTTGAACGCGTGAAAATGGGAATAACACTGGAGAACAGCGTCAGAATGGGATTGGGATGCAGTTGAATGATAGCCGCGGGGTTGATTTGCAGCCGTTTCACTGTAGATGGAGAAAATGGTAAAAGAGGATGCAAAAAAACTGTCAAGAGCTTTCAAAAATCGCGAATAGGAAAGCATGGCAGCAAGTGACATGCCTTAGAACTTTCACTTCCACATTCCTGCTATCCCTCCTTGAACAATGAACCTTTAGAGGCCCGCTAAAATGTAGCAGTTGAACGATTCCAGCATAAAACAATACAAGCTACCGCAACACAGAGTAGTTTTACCTCACACCTCATTAATAAAACTTCCTGCTTGCTAGGGAGAAAGGGTCTAACACCTAATTAGGCATAGGCAGAGGCCAAAGTGCAGTTGATTATTTATCACTCACGGTAGAGCATGGCAACCTAGATTAGGGACAGCGGGTAGGACTGCCCACCACTAACCGCCCACCGTTGCTGTTTTTCGTGATTTTTGAGTTTCGGGTAGAATAGCTTCCTTTTGCTAATGGACCTGACCCCAATTTCAGAAACTATTACACTCTTGCGGCTCCACGCGGCTTCGAAAGTGAGGCCGCAGCGGTCGCCATGAGAGGAAGAGGGAGAGCATTGGTAGTCCCATCTATTACCACGAGTGCAGGGCGCTGCCTTCAATCTGTGCAGAACAGGCCATTGTCGTCTGGCTCATTTTCCGGTTCATATTCCCGTCCTTCATTTGCCCTTGGCCCCTGTCCTGCTCAGCATTGACGTTGAGCATAGCTTCTTTAGATATTCGTCCGCAATACTGGGGCGTTATTTGAGACATCGTCGACGATTTCGCCCCACCCTATGGACTGGTATGTTAACCAGCCTTCGAACTCATATTTCAACCCCAAAGCCCACTATTCGTGGTCGTTGATACGTTTTTGACCGCCGGCCCAGTTCCAACGAGCACAGTTGTTGCTTTTTGTGGGCTAAAAAGCAGTGGGCACGATTTCTGGGGGTAAGGGGTTGTCGCCGAAGGCACTGGTGGAAGTGCTGAGAGAGTGGGCACACGCAATCTCGCAGCCCTTCCACGAATGACGTTGGAAGCAATCGCCCGCCCCCAGTCACCGTGCCGCCCAGCCTTCAAACATGGTGAATAAGCTGGGTTTATGATTGAAGGGTCGTTGCTGACTACAATCACAGACTCTTTCAAAAGTCCGAGGTCATAGCAAAAAGTTAGGCGCTGATATGTGTACTAAATATCCCAGAGGCGAAGAGGGTGTGGCTAAGTATTTCGTCTGACATGAAATAGAGTGAATTTTTCATGGAAAATTCAACATCGGACAATTGCCATTGTGTCTTGTACGGGACAGAAGCATGATTACAAGTGTCCCATCCCAGAACGAAAAGATTCCCCGGAAGCGTACATGTCAAAATATTTCTCCCCCATCTCCAACTATGGAGTATGGAGTAGTGAAAAATAGCTAAAAGCGTCCCTATATTGATTCTCTTCTGTTATAATTGTTCGGGAGGGATAAGTCGTGCAGAAGGTACGGTTCCTCGAGGCTAATGATTGCACTTTCCTCGCTCCAGGGAGACTTTGAACTCTGCCTGGTTTTCGGATTGTTCGAGACCGTCTGAGTCATAGCCACCGCGCGTGATCGTTCAATGTGCGAAAGCATGCAGAATGAACTGAATCAATCAAAATGACGAAAAGCACCACGTAAGCGTTGCGGGGCTGGCGTGTGGCTTTTGGTAGTGAACCACCTGATGCACTCAAATCAACTATTCAACTTAACATTCATGATGAGCTCAAAAATAGCACACACCTGCACTCCATATCGCGGAAATGAAGTGGGCGGAGATGCTGCTTCACTCAAACCTGGCAGCAGCTGCGCTTCTACTGGGACCTTTTCATTACAGGCACTGGAACCTTTTCATTACAGGCAACCGCAAGCACACTATGAGATGGCAAATGTCTTAAAGGAAAGTATCCCACGGAAACGCATCCTACGCTAGGTTCAAATGAGATATGCGGCCACGCCCTCCCCATATTTGGGATGTGGAGTGTAGGCAAGGTTTTCTATGAAGAAGAATTGTCAATGAAGTAGCGACCTACCGAAACCAGAACTCCATTTTGGAAGAAGAAATAGAAGGCGTCTTCTCCAACATCTCTTTCTAGGTTCAGATGTACTTCTTTCAATTTGTCACCATCCATGGTTATCGTTATCTGGAAACGAAATTCGTAAAATGTGACAATTTAAACATTTTTTCTGTAATACGTGCACTCCTACTATTTCAAAGGACTGCTACGTGAAAGGCCAAGCTTCAAAACAAATGATTCTTCTCTGATGGCTCATATCAAGGGCAGCTGTGCGTTTCTGGCATCCCTTATGAAAGGAAGAGTTACTCTTAGTTACCAGCCGTGAATCTGAATCACCAAAAAAGTAACTTCAGCGATTTGCGAAGGTTATTCGCCTGAATACTGATAATTCAGCCTGATCGATTTGATCAAACTGATCCACCAGAACCTGTTGCTATTTTTCTGAAAAAATCGGGCCTTCACAAATTTCCTGCTCTTATACGGTTCCCATTCAAATCCCTCACACACTAATTACAATGCATTTAGTGCGAATCCGATAATATTACCGTCATTGGGTCATTAGGTCCGGCCTTTTAGGGCAATGTGCATGAGCGTCGGTAAAGCCGTGCAGCGCATATATTCGTTGATCTCGCGATGCACAAGGTCCACCTTTGCTGGTTCTCTTTGCAGTTCATTGAGCCAAAATGTGCGCGCTGCTGGTTAGTTTCAGTAGCCACATATCGGATCTGATGACACAGTTGGTTAAGTTACCTTGTGCTGCTTTCCGTCATAACCAGTATCCGTGAATGTTTCGCCAAGTTTGAAACGGTACTGCAAGTTTCTTGAGGGATCCCCAGTTGTGTAACTGTAAAACGCAGTTACAGACTTTTGCACAAAACAAAGCAACTTTTTAGTAAAATATTAATAAAAGACGGTAAGTTTTGAAGAGATTCTAGACGATTGTCTGAAATCAGTCAGACATCCTCGCCAAATAGGCTTCACTTTCTTGCCCTTCGGAAGTATGCGGCGGTAAAGGTACAGGCTGTAATGGCCTGGTGATTGGCGGACGCTACCCGTCCTTACCCTCTTGGTATATAGTGTTCGCAAAATTCGAGCCGCCAGAAACCAGCGCTGTACCAGTGCTCAACTCTAGGGAGAAAGAGGATCTATACGACAGCTTCGTCAACAGCAAGAGGACCACAGCATATGTTTCAGGCTGAAGCAGCTGCATATTTCCGTGGGTAGTTCACCCGCATGCAGGTTTCTGGAGAATTTCGCTCTGACACCGGAATACTAGGCTGTCCAAGGTAAACACCATCCAGCCTTTCGGACAATGCTTTTGGTCCATGATTTATTTTCCACGGCTAGACCGTGACAGTCATGTTCATTGACGGGCGCTTCAGCATTCCAGGCACTTTGGATAGACAGATTCCGAAGATTCAAGGATATAGACCAGTGTATGGAAAGAGTCCGCATTATTCATCTACCCTGTCATTTCATATGAAATAAACAGGAAAGTAGTACGAAATACCCGCCCTGATTCGGGGAAAGTACAGGTGCAGAAGGCGCGAGTCAGTCTTACATGGTGAACCCTACTTGCTGAGCTCTACAATGCGCTCATTCAAAGTCAGAAATTCGTTTTTGTGATTCTTCGTTCGATCAAATTACCTGTGGAGACTCGTTAACGAACGAACAGAAGGGGGACGCGACGGAGTGCTCCAACTACCGCGGCATCAAGTTGACTCCCCATACCATGAAGCTGTACGAGCGCCTGGTCAACACTAGGCTGAGGGAACTTGTCCCTATCTCGCAGGAACAGTTCGGCTTCATGCCCGAGAGGTCCACCACCGATGCCATCTTCATCGCCAGACAGCTGATGGAGAAGTACCGAGAGAAGCGGCGACCCTGCTACCTAGCCTTCCTGGACCTTGAGAAGGCATTCGACCGCCTGCCTCGGCCTGTACTCTGGAGAGCGCTCAGAGAACGTAACGTTCCGGAACACCTCATCTCCATAGTGAAGGACATGTACGATGGGGCTAAAGCAGCTGTACGCACCCCTCACGGCTTGACTTATTTGCCGTATAAAATTACGGTGCGGGAACGTACGAGCAAGGGTCAGCTCAGACGTTCCTCTTCCTCCTGAATCTAGATGTCATGGGCAAAAGAGCTCATGGAGGGACCATTGAAAATCATCCTCTACGCTAACGACATCGCCCTGATAGCGGAAAGCAGGGAGGAACTCCAGGATAAGGTGCAGCGGGGTGGGGCAGGCCATTGTGCTCGGGCTGAGAATGGACTCCGGCTAGACGTTAAGAGCGACCAAGTTCCTAAGCTCCCGCCAAGGAAGTGGCCCACCGACGCTCACCGTGATCGCCATGGGAGAGCATACGACAAGGTCGAGGACATTGCCATAGCTACGCTGCGGATGGCAACCTAGCAGCTGGACGGCAGTGTGACCAGGCTGACGGCCCGAATCAACGAAGGTTCACCTGTGGAAATGGAGGGATCCACTGGGCATCCTTGTGCGACGGCGCGTGCTCAGAGAACTCGGCTCAAAGGCAAGGCTTGTCTACCGTTTGGCTTGGTAGAGCCTACAATTGTCGTGACGGCAGGGCAGTGCTGGGCCATCTGCAGGAACCATGGAAGGCAGCTCCACTGCGTTAGCTCAGAAAGATTGAGGATTGCTGAGATGGCGCCTGCGAGCTGACACGACGCTCGACAGAGTTCGGGAAACAGGACCGTCAGAGCGGTCACAAGAGACGACTCGATCCAGTCTGATGCATCGAGACGCAGCGACCTTGCGCATGGTATGGGCATGTACTGACGGATGGACACCCCGAAGACCACCAATAAGGAAGTGCATCTGGAACTCGGAGGTAGAGGGCAAAGCATGACCACCGGTACCCACGAGGATATATAAAGAAAAGATGGAGGGACGTCATCAAGAGGGACCTCACTGAAGTGAAAGCCACAGCAGAAGATGCAGTGGATCGGAACAAGTGGCGACGTCTAACAAGAACAGCGGACCCTGCGACGGCGCGGGACTAACGCTAGGGAGAAGAAGACTCGTTAGCGAATTGTCTAATCACAGCGATTATCTATTTACAGTTACAATTATAACCGGAAGGCTATAGTTGACTCTTGAATGGTCCAAATGACAAATGAGTTAATCTTCTGCTAGAAATGAATGAAAAGCCACTGGTTATTTTCGCCATTCTCATTCTCACTAACTTTTTTGAGCCAGAATAAGTTCCATTGAAGGTCATTCCTATACGGTACCGTTTCTTCGAATCCACACTTCGTACTTTTGTTGTTCCCACTCGATGTATAGCAACTCCAAAATCGCTTTAAATCGATGATTCCTATTTTTTCTGAAATGTACTAAACCAGGAAGTGGTAGAAAAACAGTAAATGAGCTTTGTTGGGAAGCGGGGGTGCCCTTTTGTCGGGTAGTCAATTGTTCTCTATGGTGATGCTCGTTGGAAACATTTTTTAGCTCTTTGCACTATTTCAGGACATGACGTGGACACGAAATGATGAACAGTTCAAATTTCCATTGGCTGTCAATGACGGAAGAGGGGTGCTAATAACATTTGGCGGGAGGGGGAGGGGGTTGAAGGACTAATTGCGCAAAACAAGGATCTCCTTAATAATGATGGGATTGCCGTACTTGAAACTGGTTGCTTGTCCAGAAACTTATCACCCTTCACGATTGGGCAGAAATCATCGTCTCTGTTCCAGTAATCTCAGCTTTCCATCGGGAGCCCTTCGAATGCATCCCACTTTCCCCCTCTAACCCACCCCCTCGAAGGTTTTGGCACCTAAGGGTTTTATGGAAGTCAAACGCAGCTCTCATGGTAGCAGTTAATGCTTGAAGCTGTACCTACAACCAGGGTTACGTATTAATGGTTGGGGATAATTTGATACGCCCCCCTCCCAATCTTCTCTTTCTCTACCCCCCCCCCCCGCTTAGCCTTATACCTACCAACTCCCTGAATATTCATAAATTCCTATCATTTTCACAAGTGTCAAGGATTTTTCCCAGAATTCCTTCTTTTTCCCAGAAAAAAAACTGCCATCGTGAGGGGAGAGGGTACCCATGGAACGGGTGAAACCGAGAAAAGTCAGCAGCAAAAAAGATTTTTTTGAAGGCAAACACGACCACCCCCTCTCCCCTCTCTAGAAATCCCCGTCCTACGATATATCCTGCTTACAGTGGTGTTCTACTATGAGCTTTTTTACTTGAGCTCGGACGTCCATATTCAGACACTCCATTGATTCGAAAGCTTTCCAAAATGCAGGGAAAATTATTTTTGCGAAAATTGTGATGTCAAAAAGGGATTGCCTTTCCAAAAAACGATTGCCATCTTATATTACGCCAAGAAGGCTCCGCTGAGTTAATTTGCACTCGGACTGAGAACTGACGGACGGAGTATGATTACGGTAACTGTGAAAGAAAAAAAAAGAAGCCTGTCGATAAATTCAACTCGATAAGGAGCACGTTCTTCCTGGGGGTCAAAACTGTACGTATCTTTTTTATGCAGATTAATGTGAGCCAATTGCACCAGAATGGTGCAAAAAATAGAGAGCGACCCCGTCCGATAAGGAGCGAGTTCGTGTCTCACTAGGAACTCACCACTCGTGCCCATAACTCACCATCTTTCTGATATTTCGTAACTGCGGTGTAGAGTAGTAATCTTGATTAAAACACCGCCAGAAAAACAAATTTTCAATACTCGCTGCTTTCAATATTCAATAAAAAACTTACATGTAACCTCCATCAGGATTCTGCTTCATTAGAAACTGTCCCTTACGTAGTTTTCCAGATATCATTTTTCGAACCAACCATGGAACACCTGAACAATATTATTATTACTACAATTTTTACCAATTATTGCAGTGATAAAAGATGAAGTCATTGATCTCAGTGCCGAAAGTATACTTCTCCTTTGGAAGCTACGTACTTCAGTTGATTAATGCTTATGAAATTCCCCAGAGGGCCATTAACAAGCCTGAGCCCCAGTCGACCAGGAAACAGCGTAGTTCTTCAACAACTCCGAATAGTCACGTAGATAACGGTTCAGATTTGGAAAGGCAATTCCACTGGACAGATTCGAAAAGTGTAAGAGAATGTGAGATGAAAAAGGGATAGCGGTCAGTGGCGCTGGTACATCACGCAATATCCCGAGATCGAGCACCAGTACATATAAAGGTTGCATGCATATGTAGCGCCGCATCGCTAGTGAATGCAAGTGGAGTGCGTGGCGCGATCCAAAGAGGATCAATCGGCGGCGAGCTTCAAACCCTCATCAATAAAACCTCCGAGGCGTCATAATTAGCCGGGATCAGTTCTACGTGAGCAGGTTTCGTCAAGTGGGAAGTGAACAAAAATCACTGAAAACGGATTAGCTGGCCTAGTTTGTGAGCGAGTAAAAAGCTCTGTCCACGTGCCAACTTCATTTGTTTGTCGGTTTTCTGAAATGCTTTAAGAAACACACTTTCCATCAACGAAGTCATCAGACATGTAGTACAGTTTCGTACACTGGGGATGATGGGAGATTTCTGGAGGGTTGAGAAAATGCGACGCCAGCTCGTACTCCATCAAATCGAGGAAGCCGCCGAGCGAGCACAGCTGGTGGGGAGCGGGCTGCCGCCGCGCCAAACCCAGCTCCTTTGACCAGCCCGACCATCCGCAGCGAGCAAGGCTGTACATATAATCCTCTCACCAATGCGTGTACCACTGCACCGGAACTGTCCGTTGAGAATCACAAGAGTGTACCCCCAGACCAGAGTAAATCTATGAGCACTCCTGGGCTGATCATGTGGACGGAGTCGCTTAGACACGAACCTTGTTCCAAAATAGTTGAGGAGCGCACCAATGCCAGAAACGCAAAAACCCATGTAGCCCCGCCTATTCGATCTGCGTAGAATGTGCGAAATTACCATGCCCCATGAAAACCCTAGAACAAATAAATAAATGGCCGGATCAGCGTGAGTGGGATTGCATTTAGCGCAAAATCAGACATAAGTTATCACTACTTCAAATGGGGCCCTTTTTGCGTTTCGTTGCAAGTCTCACCTCATTGTTCAGTACACTTTGAAAGCCGGGGACCAGAGCTGAGCGCAATGGCATCAAGAAATGCCACATTGTTTTCTCTTCACCTCTGCATGAACCTTTTATCAAACAACATCAATGCATTGCTCTGGTGATAGGAAAGGTCAACAATAGTAATGGTAACTGCATTATCGATTGGTAGTAGCGCTATCGATCAATCCTTACTAAAATCAATGAGAATCGTTTTTCTCCACACAGGCTTTATAGGGTGTCCTTCTCGGGTTTGCTAATCAGGCTAGTACAGTATGCCGCGAGTGAGTATAATCGGTGCATTTCAGTACAACGTGCCGGTCTCAGTCCTGCGCCACCCACTAAATAGTACCAAAAAGGGTAATGCATCGGGCTGGGTGAATTGGCAACGTCTATACGTCCCCCTCCCACAGCGGCTTACCATTTTCCCATATATTTGAAACTCCCTAAAAGTCTCGCAGGAGTTACACCATTTTCTCCCTAAGAGAAAGGCGTCGACGGCTCGATATACTGCGAGTGATACGAGAAGAATTAACAGCCACGAAAATTTTTCCCCTCGAGGCTCAGGAAAACTTCTATATAGGCGCAATACGACTTCGCTTCCTGATGGGATTTGAGGGCGATGCTGTACCCTGGCAGTACGCCGTTGAACATGACAGCTCAATTGTTCAGCTGCGCCAGAATACCTCATTCAGCAAAGGGATGGCCGACACAATAAAGGAGTTACGATTGAGGAGCTGGGAACACCCTCAACCCTGAAGCCCTCAACTTGGTTACGGGCGTCAAGCGCTTTTTGCACGTTTGGACCATCAATGGAAGCTCGAAGGGTCTCATACCGACAAGCGAGAGTAGTTGTGCCATTGGCTTATTTGGATTAACGATCGATAATCGTGCACAACCCGGTAACACTGCTTACTACCCCCTATTCTTTGATAGAGTTTATAAATGCTCTCATGAGGGGCCACTTTCAACATTCCAACAGCATCATTAAGAACGCTGAAAATTTTGAGAACACTGTGACTCGAGCCATTTTTCAAAGGACAAGAGTGAAAAAAGCAAGAAAGCTGAGCATAGCTTGATCGAAGACCGTACCTCGTACAGCAAGAAAATCCTCCAGATGTTCTTCCTTTGACTCCACGAAATGAGTGTCGAGGAACTCTTCAGGGATCATTTTGCAGAAGAATTTGCTCCCAAGCCGAGGTTTCTAAAGGGTTCAGAAGTCCATACCTTATCGATCCTGAGTCTCCGTGGAAAAAAAGAAAGAAAAAAAACAAATATAGGACGAATGCAGCAAAGAGGTGTTTTGATGGAGGCGGTCGCCTAATCCACTGGAGGAGTACGCTATCTGTACTACTGATAAAAGCAGCCGTTCACTGAGTGATATGATGACATATGACGGCCAAATTTACTCGAAAAATAACAAATTTTATTGAATGATTTCTCTGAAAAGGCAGTTCCAATGAATATTAAAATGAAGATTCCAATTACGTCATACTTGTAACAACTTCACTGGCAGTGCAATGAATAAGGCAATTTTATGCAATACATAGTGAAGGCTTTGTTATACAATTTATGTCGTGGTAAGGAGAGCCTATGAACACTCTTTCAAAAAATTCTCATAAATACAGTTGAAAACAGGAAATATTGGTCAAATACAAATAGAGATTCAAAATAAGAATAATCATGAAATCAGTAAATAGTTCAAATGAGACGATTGCATAATAGCATGACTCAGAGAAAGCTATTCATTCGATTTTGTAGCAATGAGCGTATGAAGACACAATAAAAAATGAATACTTAAAAGGTGCCTTGTATCATGGTGAGTTCATTTTTATTTTTACATCGTGTTTCCTCGAATGCATCAGCGTGTACCCATGGATGTTCATGTTGAAGAACTCGTGACTGAGCCATACGTTGCAATTCACGTTCTCTAAAATACCGTATCGAGAGCGAAAAACCTCCGAAATTTTGAGTTCGCATTGCTGAAGTGTTAAAAAAAGATATTATACATAGTGTCTCAATTCGTAGTTGTTTGAAGCATGGGCGAGGTCATTCGGACGAAGGCTCTCACACCTTTATGTTTAGGGGCGCACCAATAGGAAAAGCGCAATTGCCCATATAGCTCCACCCATACAAGGCTACATGGACCAATGCTCTTTGTTTGTTCTTCTTGAGCCTCCGTTGGAAACGGTAGAGCGAACATCCATTTCGCGAGAGCAGCCATCAAAGTCATACTTTGCGATCAGTAAGGAAGTCCAAATCCAGCCCTTCCCCACCCTTTCCGCTCCGTAGGTAGATTACTTGGGCTTGCCCTCAGGAGTTATGTGCCCTCACGGCTCGAAATTGAGCAAGGGGTGGGCTGTAGCTTGTTACTCCGACCCAGGACTGTACCGAGGTGTTGCCTTCGTGCATGTCGCCGTTCAGTGTGCTCTTTCGTCGCCATTTTTTCGTGCCTTTCGTTCGGGTGCGCTGATACGGACTCGTTAGCAAAAGCCTTGACCTCATGCGAGACTCGAAATTGCACCTCACTCTACCCTAAGAGGGTGAACGCGCTATCTACAGCCGCACCGGGACAACCTCCGGAAACTAAGCAACCACAGCGATAACGGCAGTTACTGTACTGACTCAAAAGGGGGCGTACAGGCTGTTTTCGAGAGAAATATTCAGGAGAAACGGAAATCCCTTTCGTAAAAACACGAGCAGGTCCCAGCTCACTTCTCTCATCGGGGGCGACAGTTCGAGGACCACTTGGTCATTACATACTCATTTAATCACTTAGACACTGTAATTCATTCACATGATGGCACCGAAGTTAGTATTCTGCCCACTTTCCCACATAGTTCTTTTGCACTACTACTTTTTTTTCGGTTTCCCATAACTATTCGGGCTATATAGTAAGAGCTTCCCACGAAAACCGGGCTTTATGAAGGTACCAGTCGGATCGCCCGCCTTCGGCGGGCGATCCTCCTTATGCGTGTGAAGTGGGTCCCCGGCCATCCAAACTGAGGCCCAGTCGGATCGCCCGATCCTCCTTATGCGTGTGAAGTGGGTCCCCGGCCATCCAAACTGAGGCCCAGTCGGATCGCCCGCCTTCGGCGGGCGATCCTCCTTATGCGTGTGAAGTGGGTCCCCGGCCATCCAAACTGAGGGCCAGTCGGATCGCCCGGGGTCCCCGGCCATCCAAACTGAGGGCCAGTCGGATCGCCCGCCTTCGGCGGGCGATCCTCCTTATGCGTGTGAAGTGGGTCCCCGGCCATCCAAACTGAGGGCCAGTCGGATCCCCGCCTCCTCCTCCTTATGCGTGTGAAGTGGGTCCCCGGCCATCCAAACTGAGGGCCAGTCGGATCGCCCGCCTCCTCCTCCTTATGCGTGTGAAGTGGGTCCCCGGCCATCCAAACTGAGGGCCAGTCGGATCGCCCGCCTCCGGGCGATCCTCCTTATGCGTGTGAAGTGGGTCCCCGGCCATCCAAACTGAGGGCCAGTCGGATCGCCCGCCTTCGGCGGGCGATCCTCCTTATGCGTGTGAAGTGGGTCCCCGGCCATCCAAACTGAGGGCCAGTCGGATCGCCCGCCTTCGGCGGGCGATCCTCCTTATGCGTGTGAAGTGGGTCCCCGGCCATCCAAACTGAGGGCCAGTCGGATCGCCCGGCGGGCGATCCTCCTTATGCGTGTGAAGTGGGTCCCCGGCCATCCAAACTGAGGGCCAGTCGGATCGCCCGCCTTCGGCGGGCGATCCTCCTTATGCGTGTGAAGTGGGTCCCCGGCCATCCAAACTGAGGGCCAGTCGGATCGCCCGCCTCCGGGCGATCCTCCTTATGCGTGTGAAGTGGGTCCCCGGCCATCCAAACTGAGGGCCAGTCGGATCGCCCGCCTCCGGGCGATCCTCCTTATGCGTGTGAAGTGGGTCCCCGGCCATCCAAACTGAGGGCCAGTCGGATCGCCCGCCTCCGGGCGATCCTCCTTATGCGTGTGAAGTGGGTCCCCGGCCATCCAAACTGAGGGCCAGTCGGATCGCCCGATCCTCCTTATGCGTGTGAAGTGGGTCCCCGGCCATCCAAACTGAGGGCCAGTCGGATCGCTCGGCGGGCGATCCTCCTTATGCGTGTGAAGTGGGTCCCCGGCCATCCAAACTGAGGGCCAGTCGGATCGCCCGCCTTCGGCGGGCGATCCTCCTTATGCGTGTGAAGTGGGTCCCCGGCCATCCAAACTGAGGGCCAGTCGGATCGCCCGCCTTCGGCGGGCGATCCTCCTTATGCGTGTGAAGTGGGTCCCCGGCCATCCAAACTGAGGGCCAGTCGGATCGCCCGCCTCCGGGCGATCCTCCTTATGCGTGTGAAGTGGGTCCCCGGCCATCCAAACTGAGGGCCAGTCGGATCGCCCGCCTCCTCCTCCTTATGCGTGTGAAGTGGGTCCCCGGCCATCCAAACTGAGGGCCAGTCGGATCGCCCGCCTTCGGCGGGCGATCCTCCTTATGCGTGTGAAGTGGGTCCCCGGCCATCCAAACTGAGGCCAGTCGGATCGCCCGCCTTCGGCGGGCGATCCTCCTTATGCGTGTGAAGTGGGTCCCCGGCCATCCAAACTGAGGGCCAGTCGGATCGCCCGGGCGGGCGATCCTCCTTATGCGTGTGAAGTGGGTCCCCGGCCATCCAAACTGAGGGCCAGTCGGATCGCCCGCCTTCGGATCCTCCTTATGCGTGTGAAGTGGGTCCCCGGCCATCCAAACTGAGGGCCAGTCGGATCGCCCGCCTTCGGCGGGCGATCCTCCTTATGCGTGTGAAGTGGGTCCCCGGCCATCCAAACTGAGGGCGTCGGCGGGCGATCCTCCTTATGCGTGTGAAGTGGGTCCCCGGCCATCCAAACTGAGGGCCAGTCGGATCGCCCGCCTTCGGCGGGCGATCCTCCTTATGCGTGTGAAGTGGGTCCCCGGCCATCCAAACTGAGGGCCAGTCGGATCGCCCGCCTCCGGGCGATCCTCCTTATGCGTGTGAAGTGGGTCCCCGGCCATCCAAACTGAGGGCCAGTCGGATCGCCCGCCTTCGGCGGGCGATCCTCCTTATGCGTGTGAAGTGGGTCCCCGGCCATCCAAACTGAGGGCCAGTCGGATCGCCCGCCTTCGGCGGGCGATCCTCCTTATGCGTGTGAAGTGGGTCCCCGGCCATCCAAACTGAGGGCCAGTCGGATCGCCCGCCTCCGGGCGATCCTCCTTATGCGTGTGAAGTGGGTCCCCGGCCATCCAAACTGAGGGCCAGTCGGATCGCCCGCCTCCTCCTCCTTATGCGTGTGAAGTGGGTCCCCGGCCATCCAAACTGAGGGCCAGTCGGATCGCCCGCCTCCGGGCGATCCTCCTTATGCGTGTGAAGTGGGTCCCCGGCCATCCAAACTGAGGGCCAGTCGGATCGCCCGCCTCGGCGGGCGATCCTCCTTATGCGTGTGAAGTGGGTCCCCGGCCATCCAAACTGAGGGCCAGTCGGATCCTCCTCCTCCTTATGCGTGTGAAGTGGGTCCCCGGCCATCCAAACTGAGGGCCAGTCGGATCGCCCGCCTTCGGCGGGCGATCCTCCTTATGCGTGTGAAGTGGGTCCCCGGCCATCCAAACTGAGGGCCAGTCGGATCCTCCTCCTCCTTATGCGTGTGAAGTGGGTCCCCGGCCATCCAAACTGAGGGCCAGTCGGATCGCCCGATCCTCCTTATGCGTGTGAAGTGGGTCCCCGGCCATCCAAACTGAGGGCCAGTCGGATCGATCCTCCTTATGCGTGTGAAGTGGGTCCCCGGCCATCCAAACTGAGGGCCAGTCGGATCGCCCGCCTCCGGGCGATCCTCCTTATGCGTGTGAAGTGGGTCCCCGGCCATCCAAACTGAGGGCCAGTCGGATCGCCCGCCTTCGGCGGGCGATCCTCCTTATGCGTGTGAAGTGGGTCCCCGGCCATCCAAACTGAGGGCCAGTCGGATCGCCCGCCTTCGGCGGGCGATCCTCCTTATGCGTGTGAAGTGGGTCCCCGGCCATCCAAACTGAGGGCCAGTCGGATCGCCCGCCTCGGCGGGCGATCCTCCTTATGCGTGTGAAGTGGGTCCCCGGCCATCCAAACTGAGGGCCAGTCGGATCCTCCTCCTCCTTATGCGTGTGAAGTGGGTCCCCGGCCATCCAAACTGAGGGCCAGTCGGATCGCTTCG